CAGCAATGTAAAGGGTGGGCATAGATTCATTTACTCTAATATCTATGCTATCCACTATCATGGTGGCATATGGCGTCATGGCCCTAAGTGGTGAAGAAAGCTTTAGTTTATCTCGACTTTTAAACAGTTTAGCATACTTTTGTTAGGCTCTATTTGTTGTATACAAATGTCTATTGAGTCCCTGATGAAACTCTGGCCGCTACTTCTGGAGAAAAGAGCCTCGTGTAAATGCCATGTTTGGGCTATCATATCTTTAAAAGGTGATTGGAGCAATTTCCTTCGTAAGGCTCGTATTAATGAAAGGTGAGGCTTTGCTTTATTGTTTTATCAGCCCTGTTGCTCTTTTGCCCGCTCTAACTACGAAACAGCTGCAGGGAAACCAATAGGCCATATTTGGCAACTTTGCCAGCTTCTTTTTCCACAGAAAAGACAAATCAAGCATTCTGTAGAATGCTTATTTTTTGAATCATTTTTCTGTAGGTAAGACACGCCTAGCCCAGACCAACTGGTCTTCGATATAGACAGCAGAGACAGAAGAGTAATCTGTGAGGGTGAGCCATTCTCTCTGTCCAGTCTTGAGCCCTTCCAAATACTCTATAAGGACCTGGGGAGGACATAAAGGAGTGGAAGAAAGGGTGTGAAGTGAGATAAGAGAGCTAGCAGGTCGAAGAAAGGTTTCCATGCTAACCTTAGCCTGGCTGAGATCAGATGAGCGCTGAAGGGGTTGAGTTGAGGCTCGTATTGAAGCGAGGGAGATGGTCCCTCCATCAGAGGAGACCAAGAGACAGTTTAAACCTACCAGACTCATGAGGGAGGAGGTAGAGAGACAGACTGGGCACTGGACACAAGGAGGAGAAGACGGACCTCTTTCTACATGTGAAGAGGAGGATTGGTAGGTGTGGTCTTATGGGCGTGCCTTGTTTTCCCGCGCTAGCAAATGTAAGATGAAATCATGAAGTTACAGTTGATTAGAGCTACACTAACACTGCTACAGGAAATCAGTTTATTTAGGATCAAGATTTACCCTACCTTCTTTACCCATAGTATAATCATATTAATGTGAGTCCTTGATTTTACAGTGAGTTTTTGGGTTT